AGCTAATCATTCAGAAATAATATTGTTTCACTCGTTTATTATTCTAAGAGCATTATAAATATTTTTGATGTGCTGTATTACTAAGATGAGAAGTGAGTGCAGTAGATCGCAAAATTTTCCTTCGGTTATTGATATTTTTCAGCGAACTTAACACGTTAATATCCTATCATGTTAGGAGTCTGTGGTCAATACAATCACTATTTCTCAGAGCACTTACACTTACATTGTCTAGGAGAATTATCAAGTATATAATAGTTTACTGAGTCTATGTGAATGGTCCAGAAGTCTTGCTACTTTAAAAAAATCTATTTGTTTGTTTTTCGTTTCCTAGCCGCCTCTCTACATTCTTATCGTGATGCCTTCCTAGCGTATTTATCGGATGCTTTTTTGTTATGGGTCGCTCTTACTGAACCACATCATGTTTTATACTTGGTCACACTAAATCAAAGCATATGGTTTCACAATCCCGAAGTAGAGATTAAGCCGGACGAATGGATTTTGATTGGAACAAGAGCAAATTACGTAGGTTCGTCAGCTATTGCAGATTATCAGTTTTAGAACAGTGTTTAGGCGAAAATCATTACTTTTTTGTTTACCAATAATCCTATTTTTAAAGTCATTTTCAGTAACGACATTAGAGTTCAAAAGACAATGTAGTAAAATACTGTAACTGAACTAGATTTTGATTAGACAGTTTTCCATGTTACAGAATCTCAACAGCACAGTAGTGTGAACTAGTTTTAAATTTGCTACGAAATCATTTGATTTTGAGCGATCACTACAATCATTGTAGATTTTGCTATTTTCATTAATGTTTAGTATCGTCTTATAAACATGAGGATATGGTTTATTCTGTTCATCTGCCAAGATTCTATATCATTTAATTAGAAAACAAATTGTGCATCTTGAATTGTTGAAGTCACGTGAACTACAGGCAATCATTTATTATAGTATGCAAAAAATTGTAGATACGGTGTAACAATCCATCCATATGAAGAACTGGGTTAACAGAAAACCACTGCCTAATTGTGATTATTGATTCGATCTCATATAGGAGTGTTTATAAAAGCTTGCAACTCATGAATTATATTAATGTATAACCTTTCACAGTATTTTTTCTGAAAATTCTGTGATTTACTTAACTTTATGTTAGGAAATCTTCTAGGTCTTTAGTCTGCTCAAGTTTGTAAAACATTTTGTTAACCTTCTTTGATGGACATTCAGGATTGCTATCTAACCATCTAAATTAAAACCCTGTTTTTTGGTGTGCAGGTGGCGCTTTGACACTTTCATATGGAGACATTTGGAATAGAGAAGGCTGTCTCCTGGCAAGCATGGCTCAACAAGGCTTGGTGCGGACCCAACAAATGACACCAGTCTCATCCTATACATCAATGAGTGAACTAGCAGAACAAGCCGAGAAATAATCTTACATCCATATAGGCACCTGACTTCAAATTTTATTATCTTTTTGTATATCTTAATTCCTGTCATGGACATATATTATCTATGCAACATTCCTCAGCACACAAAGAAGTCTCTTGATATTATGTTCTGGCTATATCGTACTTTTTAACTATAGTTGTGATATCGGTGCTGTGATTCTCTGATTAATATGTTTGCAGTATTTCCCTCATAATTGTCATTCACTACTAAATTACAACGAATTGAATGTCCTTTTAATATTTTCCTCATAAAAGCTCACAGGCCATTCCACTTCAACAGTGAAGTGACTTTCGGTTAGATTATTGATTAAGACTATTCACACTAAGTGCTTTTTCTAACCTTCTGTTCAGTTTTTACCAAAGTGAATTGAGCAAGCAGTATCCTTCTTTGATAGGTGGATGAAAAGTGGAGTTACTAGCCTTAACTCCAAATTTATATAAGTTCTTCCAGATTAATGTTAGTCACGAAAATCATTGACACATATCCTTATGCAAAAATTCAAACCAATATACATAAGGAAACATGGTGGTTAGCAGTGGGATCTAGGACAAGCGTTTCGTCCTATTTGGGACTCACCGGCTGGATGTACATGCATCCTGGAGTTGTTGTTCACTCCGGAACTGGAACCTAGTACCGTTCGTTTCAAATGCCATCAAGTTATCCACTTAGCTACTGAGTCCTGATAGCTACTTGTTTGTGCAATGAGGTGAAGTTTAAATTCACTTGGTATTGTTTGCTTGAATCTTCCCATTGATCAGTGGCAGTCCTAAACATCAATGAGAAGATTCGAGCAAACAATAGCAAGTGAACAAATATACGTCGCTCAGTTCAAAGCACGAGGTGAAATCCGGTTGGTATCCAGAAGCTAGGATCGATGAGACACTATCTTAACACATATTAGCAATAAATTGCAAACATCTAGTGAAGTATTTTTTATGCATGCAAAACCTATTGACCGGATATAATTCTATAGTCTTGTTTTCTCAAAATGCTCCAGCAGACTCTATGTTTATTTGATATAGCTTTCGCGGTCAGCCGATAATGGTGTGGTAACTAGGATGATTATTTGGATTCATACCAACTTGTAAACTTTTGTACAATAAGGCTATACATCTTCCGATGTTTTTTTACAAACTCAGTTCTCTATTACCGTAGCACCTAAATTATTGTTTGGATTCAAGTATTGATCGAAAATATATTGTTCTGGCTTTTAAGTCGATCTTTTTACACCATGCTCGCGTTGTAATATACGGAAGGAATGCATATCCGTAATATCAGTCTTAATAAGATCTAATAAATGTAAACTGGCAATCTTGATTCCCCAGTTGTGTATTTGATACGAACGCGACCCCGATCTCGTTCGACCTGATCATCTAGATACACAACCAAACACTATCTATCCCTCTTCATAAACTTAGAGTAGTTCCATGAATCGAAATTAAGTCATTCCATTTCACGAAAACGTGAACATGTAACTCTGCCCCTGAATGGAGTTCACCAAATCGGCAGTTATTTCTTTTATACGAAACTTGGATCGTAATCCAAAATTCGATTCAAATCCCTACCTTTTTTACAAGTTTTGGTAGATTAACGCTCTATCAATTTTCTTATTCTCCAATAGATTATGCAGCGAGACTTCTTCACATTTTCAGCTTTCAACTCTGCTAAGTATTTAAAAAGAAGCAGAACATACCACTTTACTTGTTCATCAAAGATTTGATTGATATGAAGTCCTATGAAACAAACACCTAAGTAATCCTTTATAGTAATTTTTGCTTCTTTTACATTCAGTCTAAGTAGCCTAGTAACCAAGACTAGGTGTTCAATTACGAAATAAGAATTGCACCTTTTTTACCCAATCTAAAAAGCGCAACTTGTGTTCATTGAGTCCCATAGTTCATATCCCCAACATTGATGATATCGGAACGAGGCGACCAAGTGACAACCTTGTGTAGCATTTGACAGCTTCACTTAACCTCTAAAATGTGACTGGAACGTATTAACTCGTAGGTGCTTCGCTTATTGTGTGTGTTGAAACTACCGAATAAAGTGAAGAGTAGAATCTGAAAAAAATGAAGAACGGACCCGTTGGTGATGTGAATTCTCATAAATACGAGAAAAACATCAGCGATAGGGCGAATGGTCGCATAAGGTACATAGCTGGGGTTATCTAGATTCTAAAAATCAGGAAATGGGAACAGATTGACGTGGACCAAAACTAGCCACCATATAGTACATAAATGTCTGTAGTGTCGGTTGCTATTTTTAAGCCCACTAACTCATTCTAGCTTCCGAACAAGCCGATCTACTCACCTTTCTTGAGCCACATTTTGACCTTATTAATTATTCGCTTATCAAACTTGACTGTTTTTTATATATTTGTTTGAAAACATAAAAATTGGTACAAGAAGGCACCAAATAGATATGCGCCATATCAATCATTCGATTTGTGGGTGCTGGGATAATGACCGGATTCACAGACCGAAGCAGATGGTTTTCTTCGGGGACCACACTCCGAGACTTCGACCTAAAGATCTGATCCACAAGGCAATGGAGCAACGGCACGGAATGCAGACCCATGGTAGCTGGTGACCAACGATTGATTCATACGCCATTTGTTACTTCACGATACTGGAGCCCATGTGCACCACTGGTTTGGAATCAGGGTTTTCCAACCCCCCTAGGTGAACTCTCCGTATCCACCAGCCCGCCTAAAGCGCCTGACATTCGATTTTCATCCTCTCAGTTTCGTAAACAGCACCACTGGTGCGAGCAGGCAGTGAGTAGAACTTCCCTGGCTGTATACGCTTGGCCATGTGCAAGGAATTGGAAAGGGAGAGTTAACTCTACCCACCCTTGGCCGTACCAGGGCATTAATCTTTTTATAACTGAAATATAAGGCACTCATATTTCATTCAAGTGATCTTAGGTTCTACGTATATCGACTTAATCAACTTTAGTGAATAACAGAATCAAATAAGTCAAACACGAAAATACATTTCGAATACATATATTTCATACACTTGTCGGAGAAACGAAACGGAGAGAAAAGAATGAAGTGAAATGACGTGCAGTGTAGAAGGCATGTGAACCAAATCAATTTAATCAAGTGTTAATGAACATTTATAACCTAACAAAAATAAGTTACAGGCTTCTCATGAGTAGGTACCTCCTCCAGAGGATAAAAAGTGTACACACACATACGTTCATATAAAAACAGTCAGGGTTGATAAGTGAGTAATCAACAAGGTAAAAACGTGACTCAAGAAGAGTGGATTAATTGGCTTGTTCAGAAGCTATAATTTCGTAAACAACGCCCCTGCCGCGAAAAGGCAGTAAATAGGACTTCCCTGGCAGTGGTCGTATGCACGTGGTCATGTAAGAGCATTTCGAGATGGAAAGCTGACCCCCCACTCCCGGCCGTACCGGGGCATTTGGGGGGAGTGTATGTGTGCATTCCTTATCTTACTCGTCACATGTATGTGTGGCCATAAATATCGAATAACGCTTGATTAAGTCGAGTTAGCTCACACGCCTTCTCCACCGCGCATCATTTCGCTTTGCTTTCTTCCCTTCGCTTCGTACCTCTGATTGTCCGTCCAGATCAATGACTGTAGGAAATATACGTATTCAAAAACCCACTCTCGTATTCAGCTTATTTGATTCCGTTATTCACCAACACGATTCAAGTCGATGAGTATATACGACGATTGGCGATGTATATATTTCGACGGCAATCATTCAATAACAATCAATCTTACGATCCACTTGGGGTCAGATATCGGGCCACTAAATATCTCACTTTTCCTCTTAGGACTCATATCCCTCTGTAATACTAAACTATTCCGGTTTATTTTAATTTAAATTAATGTTAATAAGATTTTTTTGTGCAAGGTTTTGTACGCTTCAAAATAAATAAACTTTAGAGAAATATGAATATTTCAAAGCACAGTACATCTATTTACATAAAAGATCATAATATATTTATGTCGAAATATTTTTTTCCGCTTTTGCACACTATATCTGTAACTTCATGGGATATTTGTTTAGATTCTACAAATATTGCTTTTCGCAAATCCATCTTTATGAATAATTCATAGAAAAATGTTGTCTTACCAAAAAATTGTTTAGTGTTTCTGTTGAATACTTCTTACGAACATCCCCATTACACCACAAAAAACTCATATGGAATTTAGGATTCTGAAGAATAATAGGGAAATTGATTGTCTTACTTCATAATACTTTGGCCCTCTAAACGCAGTGACACATGAATCAACAGAATTGAGTAGAGATATCAGTGCTATACGTGACTCTTCAGAAGTTACTAAAGTGAAAAAGGATCTACAGATTATAAGCAGTAGAAAATGAGTACCGTGTGTTTTCTTCATTTACAAGAACTTCTACGCCATCAAGCGCAATCCAGAACCTAAAATCGCTTAACTATGCACGAAGTATTCTTACTTTCCAAAAGAGCTTACAGCAGAACGAAGATTACAAACGAGATTTTCAATCCAATGAAAATAAATAGGCCATGTCTTCGACAAACTTATGTGAGGAGAATCCACAGTATAACAATCACCCATTACAGGATTTGATCGAACTACGGGGTCTTTGATCGCCTCAAGTATTCTAGAATGCAAATGAGAACCTTGGTACAATACAAGACGTTGTTGTGATTACATGCAATATACACGGAAGTGGCCCAACTCCCAGGTTCATGAGGAAAAGTTCTACTACGAAAATCATGCTTCGAAGGATCATCTTCACGAACAAAAAAACGAAAGGAATCAGAATTTAAATCTTGAAGTATTGTAGGCAGCTCCAGTTTTTCAGTTTCTTCTTCATCACTAGATGAATATTCAACCAATTGTGTGTTCATATCACACTGAAGTCGTAAAGAAGATACGCAAGTTAGGTGTATTTAATTAAATGATGAATTGCACACATTCACTAAAACAAGATGGCAAACAAATGATAAATAATGGAGACAAAAATACAGGGAATAAAGGATATATAATGCCATCCACAAATACATGCAGATGTGCACGTTAATCACTAAATTAACATCAATAGTTGATGCAGTAGGCCAATGAGAATTCTAATTTACTAATTTCTAGTGCAAACATCATTTACCCTACATTTTCACTTGAGCCAAAATAGGTTGAGTTTATATGAATCAACAACTAAGTATAGTAAGATTGCAAAACCGCAGTTTCACACTTATGTTGTCACAATAAAACCACATTATTTGACTACCACTAGTGAAGTTCAATGATATAGCTATTCTCTTCAAATTGTTGTGGAACGAATAGAAGATTTCGTTTAACGAGGTTCCGTATCTAGTAGCCGTCGATCATTGACACTTCCAAGTAGGAACCTAGGTATACTTACAAAACAAAAGAGAAGTATTAGTTATGAAAAAAATATTATCCTGAGTCCCTAAGAATACGTTAAGGTTCCTCTTGATGGACCCCCTAGAAGTCGCTTTGACCACCTCAGTCGGTATTAAAATCCAGGATTCGACTAATCACACAGATTAAAAGTTAGCCGTATAGTCCATTCTCCTATGTTGCATCTTTAACTTCTGAATGTTACACTTAAAGTTTGTGTTTTGACTGAGCTTAAGTAGGTTAGGGGATGCTCAGCAGTAATTAAGATGTTACAGGTCACTAGGCCACTTGTGAGACGCTTATACCCTGACAGGTGAAAATTAAGTGGTTTGAAGTGCTCTTCATAAGGTTTGAATTTGAGTCCCCGAACTGACTTCGTGGCTCTACTTTGGATACGCTTTAGTGCATTCTTATCCTTTTGGAGTGAGAGAGGAAACACTAGGTTCCTATAGTATGAGTGAGGCCAATTAAAAGTGTTGCACCTTCAAATTCGCTTAAAACGCTTGTCCGTGGTACGATCGTAAGGCACTTTTGTCGTAGGTAGCGTAAGACTTGAGGGTGAACATCCCAGTCCACCTGCCGTAGATTGCTCAAACACCTGTTGTTGGTAGAATGTTTTAGCTCAGTATCGCTAATAAAACTGAGTCATGACGATGTAACCACTCCCCTTTATGACGGCCAGGATTAGGAAATCTCTGAACTAAAACTAACCACGTGAACCTAAGAAAGTAAATTGAGGCAAAACTACAGTTAGCTGCTGATTCGCACAAAACTCGAAGGAAATGAGTTACGGATCGCTAGGCAGAAAACAGATCTTTGGGGGTCGAAAATAGTACTTTTGTTGCGTAAATACACCGAGTTCGAGAATTAAAAATCACGTGAGGACCACACTTCCTGTTCACAAAGCGCACGGATTTGCTTAGTTCTTACTGCCAATTGAAAGCGTTATTCCACATGTTTTGTTTCCTTATAGCTGTGCTGATGAGAAGTGTAACAACTCTGATCACAATCCGTCTTCGTGTAAACCTAAAACTTACTGAAGGCCGTTTTTGTAGTTCCGCCAAATACTTTAGGATTGAAATCAGGCGAGTGAAATGGTAATAGATAGAACAGAAAATTCTTTTACTTGATGTGCTACCGTGTCTGGACAAATTATATCAAAGTGGAGACACATATGTTTTTGCAAAAACGAGTTCTTCGGCGTTTTGAGGCATTTCACTTACGTTGCTCGTATCATACTATGAGCTTAGATTTAAACTCAGATTTGACGGTTCAAGCAATATTTAGGTTTCTACCGTAGGTATTTTCAGCTGACGTTTTGTGTTTCGTTTATAATTATTTGATCGCATTCACCGTTTTCTGTTCTTTTTCTTATAGTTGGATGTATTGCCTTAACTATCACCAGTTAATGTTAGTTATTGGTGCATTTTCGTAGTTATGGTAGTTACTACACTTATTGGGAATTGTTTAGAAACCAAACAGGTTATCGTGTGCAAGTCAGCTTTGCTCTTATTCCTAAAATAGCAATTTCAAAGCAAACTGACAAAAATGGACATCATATTGCTAGGAATAACACAGGCCATCAAACCTCGTGTTCATTCCAACCCAAAATTGATGTTAAACGATTCATGTAACATTTACAACTCGAACACTCATATACGACCAGACCAGTTACCCGAAAATTAATTGAGGTGGAATAGTGGTCTTACTGATCGAAACGGCGAGACAAATGGTAGTATTTCTAGGTAGTGAGGATTCGGATGTCAGTAGCTCTATGATGTGTATGGGTAGCGTTGGTGATAACTTCGGTCATCACTCCCCAGTAATAAGAATGATAGGTTGGTGGACTTATGTTACTCTCTTCAGTGGGTTTTCCAGTGAGGGTCTAGCTTCTACATGAAAATATTCACTGATGGCGCTGATACCACTTGTTCGGGTGTGGCGTTACAGTCATTAACCACTCGATGAGAAAAACGGAACCGCACTCTCGTATTATTAGATCAAATTTGGGAACCTTCTTGTTACAACCTCGAAGATCGTTAGGGCTGGAGGGAGCAGAAAGATAGGACTTTAGAAAGACTTTTCACCAATTTCCTTCCCACACGATGAACACGCTCAAGTGAGTTGGTATGTTGAATCAGATATGGAGCAAATGCTTGAACACAGTAATCTAAGTGTGATCTTACATAGGTGGGATATAAAATTCGAAACATCTCGTCAAGGCATTTGAATGCTCAGCAAAGCGACCATAATGCACCAAAACCTATGGTAGCAGCAGCGTTGTATTGCTTTGCAAACCGCAGGAAAGGAAACAATCTTTTGTCTTAAAGATCACTTTAGCATAAAATTTAGTACATAGGAGGCGAAAAATAGTGAATCTCGTGGGACAAAAATCTGTCTATTAATGTGGTAGTGATCCTAGGGGCAATATATTGTAATCAAACTTGTCTTGCCTACAACTTTATCTCCAGTCACATCTTTACATGTAGTAAGGCTAATTGCTTTCACATAGTTGGAGATTTCGACGCTTCATATATCAGTTGGTTAAAGCTTACAATTTCAGTTAGATGATTTGACATCAGCCTTCAGTAAATTACTATTAAATGCACACTAGCACAACGCGTCCACATGCCAATACGTCGTACTTTGTCTTTGTATACCATTGTGGTGGTGTAACAGACATTCCGCTTCAACCCACACTTTGACACCATGACCGAGTTGCATTTTGCCCTCGGATTTTAACAAACAAAACCTTGTATGAATTGGCTACGTCCTGATCCGACATTAGGTTGGATGACATTCCGGTAACGCGTTTCTAATTCCAATAAATTGATCAATCAGTAGAAATGAATTGGTTGAGGATAATTGGAGTACGTTTAGTGATAAACTCGAGATCTAGACAGTACCGTTCATCCTTTGAACAATTGCACGTAAGCTGTCACATAATCTTTCAGGCGTACCTCCACTTGGAATTCATCTGTGAACTGTCCTCTAGGCATAACTTTGCAGTGCGATCTGTCTTATAATTTCCGAATTGTGTTGACGGTATTCTCAGGTACATCATAGTGTCGGAGAAGGTTCCATAAGGCTCTCCTATTCACGCTGTCAGGAAAGTTGACGTGTAGTAACGAGTTCCATTCAACTGACCGCTCAACAACGACCCGTTCAACGATTTGGTTCGTGCACGACTCATCTTTTTGGAATCTAATCTGTTACTTTCGAAGTTGAGCTTCTACTGAATCTTTCATTCCGTTCAACAACTCTGTTTAAAACTATTCCTGGTATCGATAATGGTGTGATACTTCAGCAGCTTTCATACATGTTCAGAACTCCTTTCCTTGGTACCTTGATGAGGTGTCCACTTTTCCAGTCTGTCGGTACATGTTCTTCCCCTAAATCTTTCTGAATAGAACTTGGAACATGTTTTGAAGTGCCTCTATGTCTAACTTCAGTGCTCCATTTGGTATGTTGTGTGAATATATCGCTTTCCAACTGTTCATTTGTCTGATGACCAGCCTGATTTCGCCTATCATTGGTAGAATAAGAGTTATAAGATGATCTGTGTGTGCTGCTATGTATTCCTGGGGGTTCAGTGAAGCTGATTTATCCAAGAGTTCTTAAAAACGCTCTGCCCGCCTGTTTCTCTGTTCTTGAATCTCAGGGATTGTCTTACATTCTAGCCTCAATCTACTTCCCTGTATCTTCTTTGTTGCATAATATAATCCTTGCATATTTCCTCCTCTCGCAGCTTTTTCGGTTCCCGTTGCTAGGTCTTTCATGAATTTATATTTGCCGGCTGTAATGCTCTTTTTCAGTTGCTTGTTGACTCCCGAGTAAGTGGTTTTAGAGCTAAACAACTCAAGATTAATAGTTCTGTAGGTTTACGACATTGATGCTAACCTCACTAGTTTTACTGGGCGCACATAGCTGGAGGCGCTTGTTCACACATCCACATAAGAACACCAAATTGTACGCCGTGCTACGCATTCCTTGCACTTAATAGCCAGCTCAAACAAGGCGCTTCTCAATATATTCATAGCCTTCCAAATATGCATTCCAAACCTTTCATTTATGAGTTCTGATTTAACTGAATTGGTTTAATTTGACAAGGAGAGAGGGTGGCGTTGCTGACCAGCAAACATGATGGTGGGGAGATAACTTCAATCCACCAATGTCCGTAGGGTAGAACATTTTGTTTAATTACGGCTCCTTATGGTCTAGTGGGATGTCACGAACTTAAGGTATTAATGCTGATTCATCATGCAAAATACGTCATTAAATCGTGTTACGAACGTTGAATCGGTTTCACTTCCTACCCAGTAATCCTATTGCAAGCAAACTAGACAATCCGATAATATACGAAGCCTACTCAAGACCCTATGATACCTTAAAAAAAATAATAATACAAAAAATGTAAAGGGCCCCAATATCTTTAATAAAAAAAGAAAGATAGCCAACTGTATATCACAATACTGTTTTCAGCACTATATTTTATAACCACACATAACCCCATACTCTCAGTTCCTTTCTTTCTGAATCGCCTCCATTTGTCAGTTGTATATCCACTCATACCATGTTTACACTTATTTTCTTTAACCTATTAAAATGCTCTTGCTTAACAAATACCTTAATGAAAGAAAATTAGACTGAGTAATCATACCTTGAACATTCCTTCATGAATATTTGCTACTTTGCCTCTCGTCCTTTCTTTTACTTGCTCCCTCTTTCAGCCCCCTTGAGATATGTAACTGGTGACTTCATCCTGCACCATCCTTAAAGCCTTAGATATTCCAAAGGGACATATGGTTGCGATTTCTAGAAGCTCCCACCTCCAATGGATTCATCCTTGACCATTAGTTGCACATTCGCAACGCAACTTTCATAAAGCGCGCCAACTGTGATATTGAGTAAAACCATCGACATTCATATCTTATAAATTATCAACCCAGCTGAGTAATTTACTATAGTGGATATTGTATCAATTTGATCTTGCCTGTAAACTGGCATGCCTCAGGTAACAAACTGTTATTTGAGAATAAATTATTATTATGATTATTATTATTATTATTATTATTAATATCTATCTTGCACATTGTAGTGGTAAATAAATCCCCAAAATAAATAGCTCTAAGTTTTCGACATTGGATGCTGACCATATGTTTTAGTGGACTCATCTAGCTGAAGGCGCTCGGTCAGGCATCCGCACCAGATCACGTGTGGTAACGCCGTGCTCAACATCAACCGAAATCGCTAGCCAGATTAGATCAGAGAATTCCGATATATTGGTCAACGCCAAATATACTCTTCCGATCTCCTCGACTCTGTCTTTTGATTTCTCTGGGTGGGAACGAAATACATTAGAAAGTGTCACTGGTAGAAGCGTTGTCAAACACTGAATACCTGTGACATCATCAACATAAAACCCTAATAATAAAACTCTTAATAACTGTGGCATCTTTATTGGTGAGCGATACGTGATCTGGTTCTCCGATTCATGGGTCTTTTCCTTGTTTGAACATCATATATCATATTTTCATCTTTTGTTTTTACTTGTTGAGTCACTGTTTCCATATTTTCGGATATTTTTTCTAGTCCACTGATATATTCATCATAACCTTAGAAGTTCCCAAACTCCTCAAAAAGACTTTTCACGAAGATCTGTCTCCAGAACACGAGAGACAGATAATATAATATATTTCTGCAAGGGCATGTACACGCTATTTTTACAGGCGTGATCTACAAATTACGTTTATTCGTTCACAGTGTGCATGTTAAATAAATATAGTCTTCAAAAGCAAATATCAGTTCATTCTTTCAGATGTACTGAGTGGTCTTCAAAATATTCTCCAAAGTGGCATCGCTTCCACTTTACACGCCAGATCCGATCTCAGCATAATTATGTTCGGAATTTGGTCGTGCTAATTATTTATATAATGAAACTTTGTAAGTTTATAGTTGTTATAAAGTAGACTTGTAGAGCAAGGCACCTGAATGTGAACGATAAACAACACCTAACATTTTGTAGTGGAAGAGACAGATATATATAAATTATTTTAATGAATTCA